TCCATAGGGATGCCTGCATGGTACTGGCCAAGTGGAGCTTTTGGTTGAATATGAGGCTTTTAAGCTCACCTGAGCTGAAAGCTAAGTGAGCTTTTCTGATCACCCGTTGTCCGTCCGTCTGTAAACTTTTCACATTTTGAACTTCTCAAGAACTACTAAACCAATTTTAACCAAACTTGGTACAAAGTATTCTTGGGGGAAGGGGAATTTTAATTGTAAAAATGAAGGGCCAAGCCCCTTTCCAAAGGGGAGATAATTAAGGAAAGACAAAAATAGGGTGGGGTCATTAAAAATCTTCTTCTCAAGAACCACTGGGCTAGAAAAGCTGAAACTTATGTGGAAGCATCCTTGGGTAGTGTAGATTCTAAATTATTCAAATCATGACCCCCAGGGTAAGGATGGGGCCACAATAGGGAATACAAGTTTTACATTGAAATATGTAGAAAAAATCTTCAAAAATCTTCTTCTCAAAAACCAATGGGCCAGAAAAGCTGAATCTTGTATGGAAGCATCCTTGGGTAGTGTAAATTCTAAATTGTTCAAAGCATGACCCCTGGGGATAAGACGGGGTCACAATAGGGAATCAAAGTTTTACACTGAAATATGTAGAATTTTTTTTTTTAATCTTCTTTTCAAGAACCAATGGACCAAAAAAACTGAAACTTGTGTGGAAGCATCCTTGGGTAATGTAGATTTTAAATTGTTCAAATAATGGCCCCCAGGGATTGGGTGGGCCCACAATAGGGGGTCATATTTTTACATTGGATTATATATTTTTTCTTGAAAGCTACTGGACAAAGATTGAGGAATCTTCTCTGAAAATTTTCTGACATAGTGCAGATTTAATTTCTGTTGACTTTATGACTTTCTGACATTTCTGTCTTTATGCCAAAACAACACTGGGCTCAAAACCGAGATTGTGAAATCAGCCCCCCCCCCTTTTTTTGTTCATCATGGTGTTGTTATTGTTAATACCTGTAATTGTTTATACCTTTAAATGACATTATTTAATGTTGATTAATATATTCTTAATGAAGGACCGCTGTATTTTTTAGTCACGCTGTTGTTTTTTCCATTGTCTTTAGATTTTTGTCCGATCGGGATCGTTATTACGAAAATTACAATATCCGATATCAGAACGAGGCTCTTTGTTTTTCACAGCCACGTTGTGTTGGAAAAAAGACAGAATTAGAGAACAGATCCAGTTTTGACTGTAATTAAGATACCTGGTTTATTTTCGTTCATTTATAGAGGTAATATTTTAAACATGCATTAAATATCGAACCGATTCAAAAATGGAGATGCGATGTTTTCATTTGCTCATTTGAGTTGACTGTAAACTTTTTAAAGCCTTTGAAATTTTGCAAATTTATCATGAATTCAACGGTCATTCTGCAATCAGTATCGCCGATTAAGACTGACGATTTTATAAACGAAGCAATTCATCTTAACGCCATGCGTGTGCAGATACCTATGTATATTCACAAAGCTAACAAAAATGCACAATGGAAGTTCGCACTGTGAATACGTTCTATTTCCACTATGGAAGAGTTATTCTTCCTTATGTGCTCTTTTGTGTAAAAGTCGGAAAATGTACAAATCTCGCGGGATTTCTGGGACAAACATAACATAAACATGTTAACAGTGTGTTGAATGTCGATGAACAAATCCTAACAAAATGCAAATAAAATATTTTATTGTTGTGGATTTTATACATACATCAAGAGTAGGAATGACAACGATATCAATTTATATCTATTGTTGATCGTATGTCTCTATTTATCGTATGTTACTTCTAAATACAATACACATGCTTCGGAAATGTTTTTTTAATTAACGAAATTAATGAACAGAAATTTCAAATGGAATATAATTTAAATAATTCTTATTAAAAAAGCACCAAATATGATTTGATCTTTAGCATACAATTTCCAATGAAGATAATTTATTGTTACAATATAACATTATAATCAAGCAACAATAAAACACAACAACAACAAATTTCTGTTTAAGACTGTAATCTCTACTTGACCTGAAATATTTTTGCTTTAAAAAAAAACCCATCCGTGATCAAACATCCCATGGTTACAGCAATGGGGAAGAAAATAATTGCACTGAATTGTTGAATACATTTTCCAATTTTCCATTGTGCAGCAATGAGTAATTTATACCCCCACTCCGAAGGAGAGGTGGTATACTGTTTAATCCTTGTGTGTCTGTCCGTACCAAATTTTCGTCGCAGTTTTCTCAGCAAGTACTCATCACAGATACTTGAAATTTTAGCACACGCTTTGTTTAGGCATGCCATATGGTGGCATACATTTTCGTACAAATCCGATGTCAACTTCCTTTTTATCTGTGCATCTCTCCGTACCAAATTTCTGTCCCAGTTTTCTCAGCAACTATTCATCACAGATACTTGAAATTTTAGCATAGTCTTTGTGTAGGCATGCTTTATGGAAAGATCATTTTTGTTCACATCCGATGTCAACTTCCTGTTTATCCGTGCGTCTTTTGGTACCAAATGTTCGTCACAGTTTTCTCAGCAACTACATACTAATTGCTGATACTTGAAATTTTAGCACACTCTTTGTTTAGGCATGCCATATGTTTGGATTCTTTTTTTGTTGAAATAAGATGTCAACTTCCTGTTTGTCTGTGCATCTGTCTGTACTAAATTTCCGTCCCAGTTTTCTGATTTGATTTCAACATATTTTATTATGTAGGAACATAAATGGATTGGGCAGCAGGCATAGCCTAATTAAGCCCTCTCCCAGTTTTCTCAGCAACTACTCATTGCAGATGCTTGAAAGAATCAGAGGCAGTAAGCATAAATGAGCTGCCCAATATTTTTTAAACATTTTTATACCAGTGCTATCATTAAGATGGTTTATTTTTCATATAACGAGATGTCCAGTTTGATGTAAATAGCAATAAAATTTTCAACATTTGATTTGTAGTTGAGTTATCACTATGTGAAGTTGTGTGATTTTTCCGGAATTGAGAAATTTCCATCAAATTCTCACATTCCAAACAAGATTTAGATACGGCCGCACGCAAACAACACAGTAAAAATTTAATAGGTTGTTTAAAATGACACAATAAATTATATCCCAAAATATCATTCTGTTGTTTGCATGCGGCCACCATGAAAAATATATAAAACGGTGTTTTTCGAGGCGCGATTTTGATCGCTTCTGGTTTCGGTTTTTATATTCAAATCACAGCAGTAAACAAAGTTGGATGGGTCAAAAACAGACAATGTGACGGTAGATTTATCGAAGTTCTAACCATTTAGCAGGTAGGGATGAATTGAAAATCAGAGCAATTTTCATTTTGCATGCACTATTTACATGCATTGTTCAAAATTAAATCCCCTCCCAAACATATTATTGATAAAAGATTTGACATGACAGACTCCGCTAACTCCATGAACTCTGGGGGACGGTAATCATGTCAAACAGTTGAAAATAGAAAATGTGTATCTAAAATATATTAAACAGGAACACAACATGCTATCTTCTTTCAAAGAAATAAATAGATTATAAAAAGTTGACTTAATCATCGATTCTCTTTGATTTAGGACCTATAATATTCATGATTGATGAACCCTCGATCGGCCGGTTGATCTGCATGATTAGCCGCGTTTTATCGGTTGTGAAAATCTTTACATATACGGAAAATATATAAGTGCATATAGTATGTATCGCATCCATGTAACTTGCCATTTTGTCATTAAAATTATCCTGGTTAAATGTACACACAAGCTGTAGGGGCATGTAGTATGCCGGGATCTTTTTGTCTGAGTTATGGTGAGCTGAGATGATACTGTATACAAAACGTTAGGTAATCGGGCAAGAAAGTTTTTATATAACACTTTTTATCGATTTGGCATTAAAATATAAATATACTACCTTTCTATGTTGGTGTTTATAAAATGCTAACATATTTTTCTGTCTGAGTACAAATACAACCGAGTCTAGCGTTTGTGTATTCAAGGGACCTTACTCTGGTACCTGTGCAAATGTATGGTGTGCTATAACAGTCAAAAATCAAAAAAATTGGTACGAGGTTTTTTGTTTGTTTGTTTGGTTGATTGGTTTTTTTTTTTTTTTTTTTTTTTTTTTTTTTTTTTTTTTTTTTTTTGGTAAAACGAAATAAAAAATAGTTAGTTTCTTTAAAATTAGCTAACATCACTAAATCTAATTAATGTTCTTTGCAGAATAAAAAATATAAATTCTTTCTATTTTTCTTGTGGGGACAATGTATTTTTTGTGTTTTTTTTTAACCAATTAATTAAAATATTATTAATGTAAAATTAACCTTTTGTAAGTAATAAAAAAAATAATTAGATTACCTTGGAATATTATAAATTAATTTAAATCACCATTTAAATAAAAAAAAAAATGTTTGTCATTACAAGCTTCATCTTTTTTGTTTTAATTTAAAGTACCCGATAATATCTTTGCCTCTGATTTTTATTCATTAAACTAAAATAGGTAAATCAATAAAACTGCTATTTAAATTGATTTCATGAATGAAATAATTATATATTATACCTGGTAACATTAACCTTTATTTATTAGTGAAATATTGGTTACAAGCATCCATGCATTATACATTAATATGTGAATAGATTAGTTATCGCTTAGGTTTTATTTGTAATATTGGTATTTTTTTCTTACTAAAATCTTAATTACATTGAAAATGATAATTTTGATATTACTCAAAAAATATTTTTCAAAATCACTTGCTTGTTTCTTTCTTTTTACCGGCAAAGTCTCAGAAATCAAATGCCAAAAGTCCGAACATTATTCCATTGCCCATAGTTTCATCAGGAAAAAGTCACTCATCCTGTGTCATATGTAAGAAGAGGACATCAAGGCTCCTCACCCTGTCTGCAGAGAGACGGCATCATATATTCATTTTATCAGGACACCTTCTGCTGTCGGGTGCACGGTGCTGCCGATCCCACTTAGCACCAGACTTTTCTCTGAAAGATGATGCTATCAGATGTCTGGAGAACTCGTCTTCTGGCTCCAGGTCGGTACATGACACCACCTACTTCAACAAAACAGACATTTTTTCTTTGATTTCGACAATAAGAGCAGCAGCAATTAGAAATACGAAAAACAGATTAGACTTTGACAGTAGCAATGGCCTTTCTGACGCAGATTATGTGAATTTAACAGGAATTTCCAGAGCAGATTTTGACGATGTAGTGTCGCATGTGCAATTGATTAGAGCTACGAAGAATCGCAGCATCAGAGCCTGTATTGCTCTTCTACTGGTGAAACTAAGGACTGGTTTTTCCCATCGAATGCTATCAACACTCTTCAACATTGAAAAATGTGGTGTCAGACGGGCAATAACAACAGCCAGGAGAGAATTTTCTCAGACTTTTACTCCTAAATATGTGGGATTTGACCATATCTCAAGGGAAGAGATTATCCAGGAGCACACAACACCACTTGCTAAGGAGCTGTTTGGCAGTGATCTACACAATCCAGCTATTTTAGTCGTGGATGGAACCTACATTTTTATCCAGAAAAGAAGCAACTTCAGGTTCCAGCGCAGGTCATACAGCCAGCACAAAAACCGACCTCTAGTCAAGCCAATGGTTAAAGTGTCTACAATGTACGACCGGCTACATAATATCGGTCCTCGGACCATATTTTGCAGACCAGAAAAACAACGATGCGAGCATCCTGAAGCACAACATTCAGTCCAACATGGAGAACATCAAAGATTGGCTGCATCAGGAGGATGTCCTCGTAGTTGACCGTGGCTTCAGAGACTCAATCAATTTCCTTGACAGCTTGGGAATCAGATGCCAGATGCCTGCCTTTCTTCCAAAAAGCCAGAAACAACACACAACAGATGAGGTATAAAAATGCACACACACATAATACTACAATTTAAAACTCTTTTTTAATCAAAATTAAAAGAAAACAGAAATGGAAACTTTAATATATAGCATTTATATTCTTTTAAGAAGCTTATAATAATTTATTTATATTTCAATCTTATACAGTTATAGTGTATATTAATAATAAAAGTCAGTAATATGACATGCTCACAATGTAAACACTTAATTAAGAGTAATTACATTTTTTTGTACCCCAGTTTACAATGTATATATATTTTTTTAATGTTTTGCAGGCAAATACTTCAAGACTGGTCACCAAAATCCATTGGATTGTTGAGTCGGTGAATGGACGACTGAAACAGTGGACGTTTTTGCAAAATGTTGTCCCAAATACCCAGATACCCTTCATCAGGGATTATGTTTGCTTGGTTGCAGCTCTCTGTAATAAGTACAGACAACACTTAAATGCTGGAAACCCAGAAAATGATGTGATTTTAGCCGCTAAAATGAAGGTAAGGACATGCCAGTATTTGTTTCATTCCTTCTTTGTGAATTTATTAATATCTACATTGTAATTATTAATTTAAAATCTCTATTAAATTATAAGAAATACTGTGTCAATTAATTTTTATTATATTCATTTTAACTGTCCATTATTTTACCGTTCACGGTAGCTCAGTCGGTAGAGCGCTCGCTTCGTGATCGGGAGGTCGTGAGTTCGAATCTCGGCCGCGACAGACCTAAGTCGATAAAAAATAGGTAGCAACTGTTCCATCGCCATGCGCTCGGCACTTTGAAGTGAAAGTTGCGGGTCTCTCGGATGAGACCTTAAAAACGGAGGCCCCGTGTCACGGCAGGCGTTGGCACGATAAAGATCCCTCACTGCTCAATGGCCCTGAGTGCCGAGTAAAGGTCAAAATTTGAAGCCCTTCACCGGTATATGGTGACGTCTCCGAGTGAAAAATTCTCGAATGGGACGTAAAACAATATACAATCAATCAATCAATCCAATATTTTACTCAATAAAATCATTCTCCAAAGGTTTTGTTCTAATTCATTATATATGTTTTCTTGATCATGCAGCAACAAGCAGGGGCTGTGGAAAAATTCATTGTTCATGTATTTTTATGTTCATGTGTTTTAGCTATGCCAGTATAAACTACTGTACATATGTCTTATATTGAATGTTTCATTACACTCATGGCCAAATTTCAAAAACGTTTTTATTTGTTTATTAATTTATGCATGTATCAATAGCTCATATGTGATAAAATTGGAATCTGAAGTAAAAAAAAAAATCTCTTATATAGTACTTAGCATCTCAGACAAACAAGCTTCAGGAGAGAGTGGAATCTGAAGGACTACACAGAAGAGTCAAGTCATGGACCCCAATCAATGCTGCTGATTCGTTGGACTTTCCACGTCTCTCAGAGGAGGATCTGTGTAATTTGACTATTGGTGTTTACCAGTTAAAGCTGGCTAAGGGGTACACTGCTCAGCACATGGATGAAGAAGGTGATTACGTCATCATGGTAAATGCTGATATTCCTGATGTTCTGCAGATAAGGATCCAGAGTCGACATATTTCAGGTAAACAATGCCTTCTTTGGATAGAGCACTCAGAGGGAGCTGTTACTGGTTGGTATTGTCAGTGTCGTGCTGGAGCCAGAGTTGTCGGGGCATGTGCCCATGTGGCCTCAGTATTGTGGTTTCTTGGCTATGAAAGACACACAAACTTTGCATTTAGACCTACTCAAGACTGGGCTGACTACTTTGAGGATGCAGCTGTGCTTCCTGCAGTAATGGATGGCTCATCAGAAAGTGAAATGAGTGCAACGGAAGAGTGACATGAATTGCGACATTGGTTTATTGAGAGTGAACATTCTGCAGGTTATGATATCCACTGCACCAGACTCCCATTATTGTTTTCAACAATATAGTGGAAGGCTGTGTATATATTGTTATTTATTAATTGTAAATAGGGATTTTTATGTATCTATGATTTTTTTTTAATTTTTAAATTGTGATTTCTTAACATCTGTTATATAATTGAGAAATTAAAAAATAGTACATTGTACATCCAAATAACATTCAATGATAGATTCATTTCATGAGTTTAATAAGTTCAGTTGTAAATATTGAAAGATTAATTATGTACCTTGACAAATGAAATGATTTGTTATTATCATATGATTATACTTCATGAATGATTGTTATCAAAATTAATATACTGATGTAAAATGCATAATGCATCACAAAATGTTTCTCAGATAATAGTAACTATTATAGTTTATTATGCAATGTGTTGATTCGCATATTGAACTTTGTTAATTTAACATGACTATATACAAGTACTTGTTATTTTTTGTAGTACAATGTAATTACAAAACCTTTCCAGACAAATATGTACTAGTATAACTAATTCTTTGATGCTTAATTCATTTCTATGACATTGTGAGGATGATAAACATTATCTTATTATGAGTAAATGTAGTATATAAGGCATGAGTGGTGTGATGTTTAACTTCTATGATCTTTTTGGTAATAGTATAGGTGGGTGATGGGAGTTCTGGAATTTGTTTATGCAAACTGAAATCCCTTATTGTTATTTTTGTCAAGTTTAATGAATTGTTATTAAAAATGTTAGTTGAATACATTTCTTGTTTGTTCACTTTGTGCATTCAATGTCTTTTTATGTTAAATACATAAAATAGTACTTGTCTTTGAAAAATTAACATTTTTCTGTGAATTCAAAATAATATAAAGGGTTTTTTCTCATTTATAGTTTTTGATAGAGTTAAAAGGATTTTATTTAAAATATGTTTACCATAAAGTACATATTGTAAGTGGAGTCCATTTAAAGACATGTTAAGTTCCCAGGTATCTCTGATTTTGAACATAAAAACAACTGTTTTACATTAAAATTCAGTTTTTTTTTTACCACTTTTAGCTAAAAAATAGTTACTATTCACATGTTTAAGATCATTTCTGTTGTATTTGTATTAAAAATCCATCATTTATTTCTTTGATTAAATTTACAGACAAAAAATTATTAAAAATTTCCAGAAATCAGTGAAAATTGTGTTATTTTTGTATTTTTGACCCCAAAATGTCGTAAAAGTGTTTTTTTCATCAAAATATGTCTGAAAAGGTGTGATTCAATAATAATTCTTTTAATATTTATAACAATTTGTCCAAAATGGTTTGGGCCATATTTAGGGTCTTACTGCCCCTGATTCTTTTAGCACACTCTTTGTTGAGGCATGTCATATGGTCACGTGGGATTCATTTTTGTACAAATTCTAACATGAGAGGGCTTATTCACATCAGAGCGGAGGTATTATAAGTGAGCATTCGCTCACAGACATCTTGGTGGTGATTTTTTTTTAAATGTGCAGATATTTCCATCATTAGCAAAGCTTTATATACACACCTGTGCTTCAGAGTCTGCTCATCTTTTTGCAATTAAAAGTTAAAGAAGATTCTGCATGTGTTAAGGAGGTCTATCCCTGTCAGGAACAGTAAACCTATTAAATTATTATTTATTTGAATACGTCTCGAATAAAGCTTGAAATGGAAATCATAAGAAAATTGCATTGATAGATACACATTATTTTGTGAATTGAGTGACATTTTCTTAAGTATTTTCAGTTATTAAATTGCAAATTTTCAGAGCTCGAAGGAAATTAGAAATGATTTGTTATTGTTCTTTTTTTCTCTGATTAGCCAAATATTGCAGTGGCACAGAAAAGGAATATTTTACAGGTCACAGTATTTTTGGAGATTTAATGGAGAAGAAGAATTGATATTAAGTATACTTAGTACTCGGGAGGATTTATTTATTTATCTACTTTTACAAATTTGTTCTTCTTATATGATTATGCGCTGCATAGAATTTTTAAATGAACAGTATTAAGTGAAAATCATACATTTAATTTCTTTTAAAATTTTGTATCATTAGTTCAAAGAAATATTTAACACCGTTTACTTTAAATTGCTTATTTTTTTTATTTTGAAAGGTAAGCTCTAGCGAATAGGAAGTTTTATTAGATTTTGCATCTAAAATAGAGGGCACTGTGTAGTATCAGTGTGTTTCACTTTGCCAACATGTATAGTTGGGTTATTTGTCCCCTTGCACTTTTATAATACAACATCAAGTAATGTTTAACTTGCAAGTTTTCCTATTTAAGTTTATATACAAGAAAGCCTATTGATAGAGGAAAACAGATATTTTTGGTTAATTGCACAAGATTCAAATTACATTGATCATGCATACATGTATACATTTTTTGGCCAGTGATTTAGATGATGTATGGGTTTATTGAAGAAATTTCATATATTCTTTTTACATATACAGCCTCTGGATGAAAGGAAACGCATGCATTTTGAGTTTGATTGGTACTGTAATAGATCCAATTGATAGTAGGAGTTCTGATAAAAGGTTAAAATTGATTGGAAGCCCGTGTTACATATTATCTTCATGAATATTCATCACAGCGTTGATCCTTATGTATTTAACAGATAGAAGACTTTTTCAAAATTATAAGTTCATTTAATCAAGGTCAGCAGTCATATGGCAACAATTATGCATGTAACAGTGATGTGCATTGAAATGGTAAAATTTTCATTTGAATGGAACATTTCGGTTTTTCTTATAGAGAATCAATTGTTACAGAACGATGTGCCCATTTCTTAAAAAGAAAAAAAATGAGATAGGAATTCTCTGGGCAATATTGTAAGATGTCACGCTCAGAGACTAGCAATGCAAGTATCAAAAACCTGGTTTTAAATAGACAATTTCCTATTCTATTTTGGTTTATACAATGACCTTGTTTCTAATACTGCCTATCATTTGTTTTTTCATAAAATATTAATTAGGCCTATGTTGATGATATGTCAACTGATCACTCTATTTACCTGATTGGTCATTTTAATAATGGGTTGGAAATTTTAAGATTGTACAGAAATTGAAAGAAAAGAAGTTCTTTCCCCCTTTCTTTCCTCCCTTTTCTAATATATAGAAAGATATACAGTTGTGCCATGGTAATCAGGATACTTCACCTTCCTGATGAGATATGTGGGGAACAGAACCTTTATATCTACAAGTAATTTGGGGTAAATTTTGGTATTCCTAATGCTTCATAAACCCAGATGATAATAAGTGTTTGTATTAACAAGCCCTGACTGTACATCCGTAGTATCAATATTCATTATTAACTTTATCCTTTGTAGATGCCTAGAAGAAAGTATTGGAGGATGAGTGGTGCCAGGAAAGAGATACGGACTGACAAGACTGAGGAGACTGGCCTCAAGAAAAACAGTAAAACAATGTCTGACATTAGAATGACTGAGGAGACTGACCTCGTTAAAAACAGTAAAACCAATGTTGACCCTGAGGAGCCTGCCCTCAGGATACAAGAAAAAAACAGGAAAAACCAAAGAAACTTGTGAAACAAATCTGCTCAATGAACTATGTGAAAAAGATCTGCTCAATAAATCTGTTGAAGAGAATTTACAAAACAATGTTGAAAATTTTTTACAAACAATGCCTTAATCACTAAAACTGTATTACACAATTGTGGTGTAAAGGCTGAAGAAAGTAAATCACTCATTCATGAAATCAACCAGGTATGCAATACAAAATTAGTATTTGGGTCATTTCGTCAAGGAGATGCAAGGTTTTCATCTTTTTTCAAGAGGAAGTCAGTGTACCTGCAATGCTCTTACTATGCTGATTAAAAGTTATGAAGGATTTTCATTCTCAACTGAATTTATTGATAACACTTTAATAGCAGGAGATCAGGTTTATATTATGTTGGTCAAGAATTTGCTGCAAAGACAAATGTTTCTTAACAAACTACTTAAATTTGATGAGTTGCCAAGTAACTTAACTTTAGGAGAAAATCATCGTCATTGAGAAATTTGAAACCATGTGGGGATTACTTGTCTCTGAAGAACAAAACGGTCAAGTGAAACCATTGCATCAAGCTTTAGAAGAGGCATTTCAGGTTTCTAGATATTTGCTGATAATGATAGGAGCTATATGTTCGCGTATATACAAAGTGTCAAGCAATGAATATTACTTTGTTGACTCCAATTCACATGACAGTGATGGCATGTCTGCCTTTGATGGTAGATCAGTACTAGTACAAAGCAAGGGTATTGATGATTTGATGTCATATTTGTACAGTATGTATAACAGCATGCATATGGACTTTGCAATGCAGTTTGAAATCTTACCAATCTCAATTAAGACTTTGGATCATAGTTTTCCAGAGAAAAGCCCATTGCAGAAAAGATTTTACAAAATGGATGATCATCTCTCATCTGTGACAAATTCAGTTCAAAACCATAATTTTAAGTTCCTAACTACAAACTATCAAAATAAACTGTGTTCTGATTTCTACATCAAATAAGGGACCAGTTTCTGCCGTTACCATACCTTGTCCTTTATATGACTGTTATGGAAGCATGCAAAATACTTAAATTTAAACATTTTATTTCTGTTTAGTAAGCAAGTTGTTCCTATTTAAATATTATTTTGTTTTTATTGTACTTTCTGCCTATCAATTGATCATATTTTTTTCACAGAACAGCAGAAATCTTGCCTGTGTCAGAAGTGCGAGAGAAAATGGATTTCCAGATCAACTTCCTGCCTTCATGAAATACAGTATGGGAAAAAGTATTAGTGCCTCAACTGTAGTGTCCGGAATTATCCGTCCCCTGTTTTGATTTTATTTTTAATTGATTGTTTCCGCCCAATTCAACAATACAACGTTTTTACGGATAGTTTGCTTGTCTTGTCCTCACATGGAGTAAGTTTTATTGCTTTATTTAATTTGTGATCATAAATTGATTTATAAACGTTTAAATATCATGTAGCTAAATGTCATTGGTAAACATTGTTTATATTTTGCATAATTCTGCATTTTTTATCTGCTTTTTTGTAACTGGTTCACTTAAATATGGCGGACAATTTAGGTCATTTTTATATATTTACATATCATATCGGTACTGTGTCATTTTCTTCATAAAGCCTGTTAATAATTGATAATTACAGCTAATAACAAGTCTTATTGTCAGTACAATATTTGATTGTTAAACTTCTGTATTGATTGTGTCTAAATGTGTGTCATTTATTTGTAGTTTTTTAACCCTTTTACGAGAGGTCTGTGAATAAAGCATAACAGCACAGTAAAACATCCTCTTCTTGGACACAGACTCATGATGGTAGATGTTCCGGCATTAAGGCAATCTTACTTCAGGTGGCATGGAACAGTTCGAGGAACACGTTAACAGGCATGTATTCAAGTTAGGAAACATCAAGAGAGACATTGATTCTATCCTCATGGATATGGAAGAAAACCCAGTCATGAATCTCGAGCATGCAAAGACTTGCAAAACTGTAGATGTGCAGTAAGGTTTCGGAATTTTCATTTTCACCCTAGGGGTAGAAAAATGACGTTTTATTGCAAAAGACCCCTGGTTCCCTGAACTCCTCTTATATTTTACAAAGTAGCCTAATCATCTTTTGGGAGATGGTTGGATGGTGTCCTGTGGATGTGCAATATGGTTTCGGAATTTTTATTTACACCCTAAGGGTAAAAAATTTAAATATTAAAACACCCTTGTTCCAAGAACTTTCCTTATATTTTATGCATTAGCCTAATCATTTGGAAGATGATTAGTTTTTTTTTGTGGATGTGCAAAATGGTTTCATTTGCATTTTCATGTGTATGGCAAATAGGGACAGGAAAAAATGGCCCCTCCCTAATCCATGGGGTCATGATTTGTACAAACTTGAATCTACACTACTTGAGAATGTTTCCATATTTAATTGTCTATTCATGGTCTTGTTGTTCTTGATAAGAAGAATCCTTTTATTCCTATATAAAACTTTGATCCCTTATTGTGGCCCGACCCTACCATCGGAGGTCATGATTTAAAAAAAAATCAATCTGCACTATATGAGGATGTTTCCAAATCAATATGACTAACAAGCAAATTAAAAGAATTGTGGTTCCCTGCTTTTGGTGTCTTAGTGGATGGGATGCCATTATTTATGGCATATTGTGTCAAACATGCACGCCCTATGATATGTCATTCAAAAGTAATCACAAAAGTTAAATTTTTAGGTCACCTGAGTCACTCAGGTGACCTATTGCTATCCGTTCTCGTCCGTCGGCGTGCGTTGTGCGTTAACATTTGAACATTTTTAGCTTCTTCTCTGAA